TTGACCACGTGTACTCTCGGTCGTGCAGAATCACCTACGATCCGATTGTACATCGTTGGCCTTGGCCAAACCAAGTCCGTTACCTTTCCTAAGATCGATCCACATTGGTTCATAATATTCTCTCATCATTTCTCGTGATCGGTGTCCGCTTCGCGATCGGATCCTTGGTCCACGTACCGCTTTCTAATTAGCCATACCCTATTGGTTAGTATCCCGAGAGTGATCAGCTCTGGGTGAGACTTACTAAAATGAAATGCGAAATATTGGCAATTTTATTGATCCCGGAATTATATCGAAATTCGGGCTGTTACACATACGAACAGTACCGGCCCATTTCTCGACTATGGCGGCTCTGATACCACATGTTGGCCGGCCCGTATGGCTCGGCCGAGCGCCCTAGAATCACCATAGTGAGATATTGACGGTACAGTAAAAGGATGGATAGAATTTGAGCACCTGATTTGGATTCCATCGTCCTGGATGCGGAAATAACGACGAACTGGTGCCGTAGGTCTTCTCCCCTGTCACCCCCGAAGTCTCTGCGCTATGAGACTGCCTCAGCTAGCTCACGGAAGCTTTAGGTGCGTTTTGAGAGCGTTTGAGAGAGATTGGAGAGTTAGGTGCAGAGGAGGGACCTCCAACGCTATTTATAGAGTTTTCAGCTAGGCACTCTCATAACGGGCCGGGCCGAACTCGGCCCACACAAGCCAGGCCCATATCCGACCAATTAAGAAATCTTATATCCAACCTTATTAGACCAGACCCGCAAACGGGTAATAACAATCTCAATTAATGTAACCCACGTTAAGAAAATGTTACACAGCAGTGTTACAGCCTGGCTTGTGAGGACAAATGCAAGACCGACCACGGTGATTCCTTCTTTCAAGCGTACTGCGCGCGCAGCTACATCAGCGGCCTGCTGGCCTGCTATTGCTACTATAACTGTTGAGTGCTTGAGCGCGCGCATCATGATCTGCTTTCGAGCTGCTTCGTTGGCGCGATGCCCCATAATAAATCAGCTGCTTGAATTCTAGAGTCGATTGAGTAATATTTGGTGTCTTCTCCTTGTTCGTATCTCTTTATTTCACGTTCATATGTCTATGATTTACCCCCATGAAGGCGATGTACTGCGATCGTGAACATGAATATTTTCTCCCGCAAGAAAGGACGGACGAATACCTTATAATTAATGTGACAATGCGAGACTTTAAAGATTTGTTCCAAACTCTATCTCGTTGTCATCTTCACGATCGTCGCCGCCCTCCTCTTCTTCCCCTCCGCTGTCAGATCGGAGCTGCGGATCTCCCATCCGGCCATCAGATTGCCCTCCGAGAGGAGCAATGGCAGAGGCTCCGTTCCGGCTTGGCTCGACTCGGTTCGTGCCAGTCAAGTGCTTTCGTGTCGACCTGATCTGCAGCGGAGACGGGGTGACCTACTGGTGCGGCTGTGCCGACGCCGCATGCTCCGGCGTGGAAGTCACAAAATTAGGCTACTGTGAGGTCGGGAACGGCAGCTCGGGTTTGTTGTCGAATCAGGCGCTGCTTTTCTGAACATAATGTGAGAGGCCAATCGAATTTTGCGTTTTCATTTTCTCTTTGTGGGGTGCTTTTGGTTTGTACGTAAGAGTTGGATGATTCCACGGGAGTTAATTATTTTGGTCCTAGTAATCATTGATGATGTATCCATTCATTTTTGTGTGTTCTTAGTTGTGCATAAGTTTGGCACTTGAGCTCGAAATTTCGCGATTAATCTGTTGCAAACCACTGAATTCTTATAACGAGACCGGCACACGTCGACCTGCAGCCAACACCTGCCGAGCACCAGGTTGTTGCACCCTCCGGACACGAACATGTTCTTTGTCTGCGAGTACATGTAGGAACTCCCCGTCAAGTTCAACGACGTTGCCGTTCACTGCTCTGCCCATGCAGTTCGGCAGGTTCGGCTGGGAGTAGAAGACCGGCTGAGAGACCTCGAAGAATCCATCGGGGCCTCTGGAGTTGTCCAGCACCGGTAGGGAAATGTTGAGCACTCTTACATTCATGAGGTTTTCTTCAGCGTGGCAACAGGGGTGCTGGTGCCGCCACGGTGGCACTCGATCTCATAGTGTTCATCCAGGAAGCAGCCGGACCCGATCCCGAATGGGTATGGAACCATCAAGTTGCCACATGTGGCGATGCAATTGGGTATGGCCACCGGGGGAGGTGGGTCCAGAATTTCATCTGCCGGCAGCAGCAGAAAGAGAAGGCATTAAACAGCGACTAGTTTGAACGCTGCTCGCAGTATCATTATGGTTATCCTTATGTTTTTGTTTTGATTTGTCGGATGGTGTGATTTGCTCCAAACAAGTTTTCATTTTGACCTTTTCTCAGCACCTTGACCTTTTCGAGACCAGGACATACGATTTCCTCAGAAGCTTTTATCAGACATCGTAGAACAGGCATGACACTCAAGATGAATACTAGACACCCTGATAAGCTATGACTTTTATCTTCTTGACAAGTCTCGGCCATATCTACCCAGTTCGTAGATGTCAGGTTTTCCTGTCATGCCTCAGGCCACAGCGCCCTGTGTCACAGGCTGTCCTGCGTAAGTTCATAATTTTCCAATACAGAGTGTCATAAATTGCAATCACTGTTATTTTAGAATCGTTTCATTAAGGACATGTTAAGTTTCATCCCCAAAAAACGTAGAACGTCGTGAATCACAAAGGATTTATCATCTAGTTGCTTACGAGGCTTTACGGTGGAACACGACGTGGGCATCGTGTCCCTATGGTACCATAGAAGTCTACATGTCTCTCTCACTTCATGGCAAAAACATGATGAAAAATCACCAGCCATTTTTGCAAATGGCAGAGATAAAAACATGCTTTAGTGTTCAGTTCTTTGAAGCACAGACCAACCCCAAGAAAGCTCATCCACTCTAGCCTTTGTAACACACAAGCAATCCAATAAGACCTTCTTTGTGCCGTCGTTGTTCCTTTGCCATAAAAAGCCCTCACACACTTGCAAAACCGAGGATTAAGTCGCGGACATATTAACTAAAGCTCTCCTGCAAACCGAGTTTGAGACGCTACAAAGAATGCCCGGAGTATCGCGAAAATTAATCACCGGACAGTGATTGAGAGAAGCTTTAAGCACGACGTCTCTAAGGTCAATAGTGGCCCAACGCATCATACTTATGCTGCAATTCTCTACACAACTTTTCATTCCCCAACCATATTGAACCGTCTTATCTTCACACCTAAAGCTTGAACCAACATGTCTCTGCACATCAATAGTAACATTATTATATATAACTAGGCGCATGATAGAGTGATCAAGAAATGGTAAGCCCAGCGGAAGCGTGGCTGCGCTTTTCAATGAAATTTTTTCTCTCTCAATTTTTTACATTTTTGTATTTCCGTAAATTCGTCATGCTTTTTACTCAGTTGTCCATCTTTTTTCTCTATCCATTCTATTTTATCCATGCATTCTCTTTATAAAAATATTTCCTTTGTCGTTTCTATCCTTCTTGCTACAGAATCGAACTTTTGCCTTTTTATTTTTTTTTCCTTTTCCTATTGATCATTACGAATCATTTTGCCTTCCTACTTTCCGATTTTCTTTAATTTATTTTTTATGATTGTTCATTTCAGAATACAATTGAATCATGGATTTTTTCCATATCAAATTATTTTTATAATTTTATATTTAATCTACAATTTTCGCATGCTTTACCTAACTATTTTCAGGTGCTATAATAAAATTAAAAGTTTTACATGGAGTATTAGCCGATGAACCCAAATTACATTGACCTCATAATACATGAGGGAGTATATGTGAATATTTTCCCTACTTTGGAAACCTAAATTTTCAATAGAAACTTTCTCGCCTTAAAAAGACATGAAATGATTCATTTTTTCTACAGAAAAGTATTAGTGGATGTAATTATAAGTGAAAAAATCGAATTTGAAGAGCATTTTTTTCATTGTCTCACATTTATGTAATTTGTAAAACTCTATATAATAGTAACATTTTCTTTTTAGAAACTAGCAAATGGACAATATATCATACCATTCATTCGATCACCTCAAATATATATGAAGCAGTCACGAAATGCTTTTCCTGCAGATGCTCGAACAAGCGATGGAGCTCATTTCTGGTCTAAGAGCTCTAGACATTTCCCTAAGCCACGTGAGTTCTCGACCTCTAAACAAGAGCACCCTCGTTTTGTGACGGCCGCATCGATATCCCGGAACCCGTTGGGGCCAAAGATGGTGCTAAGATGTCTAAAGCTGTTGATAAGGTGAGAATTGCAGAGTTTCAGCAAAAGAAGTTCATAGAAGTCAGAGAAGGTGATGCGATCGTCATTAATGACCTCATTAAGAGGTTAGAAGGATTTCAGGATGAACCCCACTGGTTTAGAGATGGAAGCGATCACTATGAGAGGGTGCACAGTAATCACTCTTTTTAATTTGCCTGCCATTCTATTTGGCTCAACTCTGACTGTTAGCATGGCGATACCATTTTGATGATTGCTTTCATGTGGTAACGTCAATTTCTTGTCGGACGCCATCACCAGTATTGGACCTGATGAATGAGGATGCACACTACCACCATGGACCCGACATAAGATGATGCAACTACCAAGTGGACGACGATGACGACGATGAAAACTGTACATCATGTTCGGATGGATGATGATGCGAACTCCCCTGCGGACCACGTTAATAATCTGTTCCACCGTTTAAGTTGCCATTGTCTTCATTTCTCCGAAGACCAAATATCATTCGAATTAATGAGAAAGAGAGCGGCAAGATGCTATAGAATACTTCAGATTACGAAATAAGCAGAATCGTCCTGTAATGCAACTAAATTGTTCCCAAATCTTACATTGTACAAATCCTTGAAATATCTTATCTCCTGAAGACAAGATTGCCCACCCAGTCATCGGATACTATGCTTGATGGATGATAATAAGATGATATCTTTTGAAAGATGATAGTATGCGTGCACGACAAATATATGTGTGATAACAAGTAATTAAGATCGTTTATCGTTCTAGTTCTAAATTGCGTAGGAGCAGTGGGATCTCCGATGAAGATTTCTGAGCTTCAGACATCACTGGCATGGAGAAATCATGCCAAGCTCGAATTGATCTAGTCCTTACGTGGTCAATTGGATGATGATTTTGCTCGACAGTGGAAAGATCGACATGTTGTGCTCTTATTCGCTCCAACTCCATTGCCACCTCTTTCATGGTTGGTCGACTCCTTCCGTTCGAGTTCAAGCATCTCTTTGCCAAATTTGCAACTCCCAGAATCTCTTCCTCTTGACTTCGCTTTACCACTCCAGCATCAACGATGTCAAGAAGGTGGTTTTCCTCCATTGACTCGATAAAATACACTGCTAAACTTCTGCCATCTTTCGCCCTCATTGCAGAGATCGGCTTTTGCCCTGTCAATAGCTCGACTAGGACTACCCCAAAGCTATAGACATCGCTCTTGTCCGTGAATTGGCTCGTTTGGAAATACTCGGGGTCTAAATACCCAATTGTTCCTTTGACCATTGTGGTCAAGTGAGTTTGATCGATGGCCACCGATCTTGAAGTTCCGAAATCTGCTACTTTGGCCCGGTACTGATCGTCCAAGAGGATATTCGAAGACTTGACATCTCGATGGTAAATGGGTATGGCCGCGGTAAAGTGCAAATAGGAAAGAGCTCCGGCAACTTCGGTGGCAATCCTCAATCGCATTTCCCATGACACTGGGAATTCTTCAGTTGGATTATGCAAATGCTGATAAAGAGTCCCGCTTGGAATAAATTCATACACTAAAAGTGGAACCTCCGTCTCCAAACAACACCCCAACAATTTGACTATGTTGCGATGATTAATTTGTGAGAGAATCATAACCTCATTGACAAACTGTTCGACTTGTCCTTCGTCTACAATTCTTGATCTTTTGACTGCAACGATCCTTCCGTCTGTTAGCATTCCCTTGTAGACAGTGCCTTGGCCACCTTGACCTAATATCCTGTTCTCATTAAAATGATCAGTAGCTTTCTCTAACTCTTTTGAAGCGAACAATTTGCTTTTTTCCATGTGATTGCCTTCGTCATAAGATAGTTGTTGTTGTAACAAAAGACCGCCGTTTCGTTTAAAGAACTTCTCTTTGAGCTTGATTTCATGCCTCCTCTTCATGAACTTGTAGAACCACCACAATAATCCCATGAGGAGTACGACTCCAAAACCAGTGCCAACACCTTCATGACAGAAGTCAAGAAAACTTGCTTTATGAAAATCTCTAATTTGTTCGAGGCAACTAAGATCAATTTACATGCTTTTCCTGTTAAATTTGAACGGTAGAATATCGATTCAATTGCATTTAGCCTCTTGAATGAAGAGAATACAAAACAGCTGCGTGTGAATTGAGGAGAAATATATAGTAACAGAAGCACAGTGACTTATCAAAAAATTTTACACCTATATTGACAAATGATCTAGCTAGTAACCATTACCTATCATGGCCGCGTTATTGTTGTCGCCTACACAGACATATGAACCAGGCCGGTTCACACACTTCACCGGGCAAAAGGTGGCATTTGGGATTAAGCACTCATTTATATCTGCCAACGATCAAAAAGGTTACGAACAACATTCTTAGAACACTGTTAAAAACAATAAACAACCCTTTCTATAGTAATATGCGCACGAGTAGTTTACTCCTTAATGGACCAAGCACACCTGTAGTAGTTAGACTACATTAAGCGGACCAAGCTTAGACAAGAAAAGAAGGGCGGACAACATACAGAAGAACTAGCCTGGTTCACTGTCTATATTCTAACCCATCTTACTAGCATGGGTATGCAAATTAACCAAACTCATAAGTGACAAGAAATAACGGGTTGCCTCACCTTTGCATCCATCCGTTATATAGGGATTACCAGCGTAGCCGGACATGCAACGGCATTGCATGTAAGGCCTGGGGTTATCAGAACCGTATAAAAAGCTGTCGTAGTGGCTGCACCAGTAACTGGACCCAACAACGTCCTTTTGATACACGCCCCGTGAAATCGTCATTTTGACAAACGTTTCATTGGAGATACCCCATTCAAGAGCCACAGGCACATGCGATGGTAAGGCTCGTGTATCGGTCATGTTGCTAGAGAAATTGTACTGCGATTGATCCACTAAGAAAGCGTACCTGCATTTGTGTGGACGGTTCTTGAGATTAATTTTGACTCAATTGTTCCAAAAGGCCTTCGTATGAAGAACCAACAGGAGCTAGGTGACTTCAACCCCCAATGGTAATAATATTTCCTGATCAGGTAATCCTAATGTACTAATCTTACCAAGAATACAAATTTTGATTTCATGACAGCTAATTGCAAACATTTTTTTTTTTTTGACAAGAAATTCAACCTTAGCCGAGTTAATTCCGGATCAACTGAATATTTGACTAACCTCACGCTGGAGACATCATAGCCCCGAATTGAAGTCCAAGCAGGGTGGCTCAACAATAAGATCATTTTTTCGCATAATGGTGTGAGAATCATACTGTCATTGTATGCATAAATCAGGGATTCAAAACTTTCAATTCAGCAAAGCCTTAACATTACCTGCACAATCCGTCGGTGACTGTCAATGCACCATCGTCTGTCTTGAAATCCACGCCATATGCCTGGAGCCCGAAGGGGATCGTGTTTGTGCAGCAACCGATCCCATTCACACAGTCTTCATGGCTGCCAGTCCCGTTGCCGGCACACATCGACCTGCAGCCAACAACCGCTGACTTCATGCTGAGGTTGACCATGAACGCCAGGTTGTTGCACCCTCCAGAGACGAACATGTTCTTTGTCTGCGAGTACATGTAGGGACTCCCCGTCAAGTTCAACAACGTCGAGATGTTGCCATTCACTGCTCTGCCCGTGCAGTTCGGCAGGTTCGACTGGGAGTAGAGGACCGGCTGAGAGACCTCAATGAATCCATCGGGGCCTCCCGAGTTGTCCAGCACCGGCAGGGAAATGTTGAGCACTGTTACATTCATGAGGTTCTTCAGCGTGGTGACAGGGGTGCTGGTGCCGCCGCTGTGGCACTCGATCTCATAGAGTTCATCCAGGAAGCAGCCGGACCCGATCCCAAACGGGTATGGAACCGTCAAGTTGCCACATGTGGCGGCACAGTTGGGCAGGGCCACCGGGGGAGGTGGGTCCGGTATTTCATCAGCGGCTGCTGCCACAGTGATCGGCAGCAGCAGAAAGATAAGGCAATAAACAGCGACAAGTTTGAACGCCACTCGCAGTATCATCATGATCATCCTTACGTTTTTGTTTTGATTTGTCGGTGGGTGTGATTTGCTCCAAACGTGTTTTCAGTTTGGAGCTGAGAAAAAGAACGAGAGGATTGGTCTTTATATACATAAACACAGGATGCACGAACGACAACACTTCCATTGTTGACGGGGTCGATAACTTGCAGATTCTAGCTTCCTCAACCACTGTGGTTGGGATTTTCTGCGTCAAAGTTTCTTGGCCGTCCAAAGTCTGACTTTTCCGTGAGCCCAAGCCAATGTTGACGAATTCGCAGGAGTTGCTTTCCTTCTGACCGTGACGACTGGATCTCCAACAACTCCTATTATTAACGTGTGTTCCGTTGAATTCCCTCTCCTATCTCAGCACCATGACCTTTTCCAGACCGGGACATGCGATTTCCTAAGAAGATTTGATCAGACATCTTAGAACAGGCATGAAACCCAAGATGAATACAAGACACCCTGATAAGCTGACTGTTTTTTCCTCTTGACAAGTCTCGGCCATCTACCCAGTTCGTAGATGTCGGTTTTTCTGTTATGCCTCTGGCCACTGTGCCCTGTGTCACAGGCTGTCCCGAATAAGTTCATATTTTTCCAATACAAAGTGTCATAAATTGCAATCACTGTTATTTTAGACTCGTTTCATTAAGGAGATGTGAAGTTTTTTTTTTGGTAAGGAGGAGATGTGAAGTTTTTTTTTTTTTTGGTAAGGGAGGAGATGTGAAGTTTCTTCCTCTAAAAATGTAGAATGTGGTAAATCACAAAGGATTTATCATCTAGTTGCTTACAACACTTTACGTTAATTGGAATACGACGAGGGCATGGTGTCCCTACGGTACCATAGAAGTCTACATGTCTCCCCCACTTCATGGTAAAAACATGATGAAAAATCACCTGCCATTATCTTTGCAAATGGCAGAGATATTTGGTGGCTTAAGTCGGTGAAGTTGGGCTATAAATATATGCTCAAATGTTCAATTCTTTGAAGTACATACCAACCCCAAGAAAGCTCATCCACTCTTAGGCTCCGTTCGTTTAGCGGAAAATATTCTTCTTTTGGAAAATATTTTTCCGGAAGTCATTTTCCTGAGAAATGTTTTCCCGGAACATAATTTTCCGGTGTTCGGCGATCAATATGAAAAAGTTTCGGAAAATATTTTTTGCGGTGGCGGCGACCGAGCGGCGGCCAGCAGCCGGCAGCGGCGGCAGCGAGCGGCGGCAGCGGCGGCCGGCGCAACCAGCGCGGCGGCCAGCGACCTTAGTGAAAAAGAAGAAGAAGAAGCTCAGGAAAATGATTTCCGCTTTTGAAGAAGCGGAAGTCGTTTTCCATAGACTAAGGCTATTTTGTGAGGGGAAGGAAAATATTTTCCCACGGAAAGCGTTTTCCGCCCCCGAACACCGAAAACCCGGAAAATATTTTCCGGCCAAAAGACGGAGCCTAGAGTGCGTTTGTTTTGCGGAAAATAGACCATTTCTGAAAAAATACTTTCCAGGAAAATGAGTTCATTTTTTGGTATTTGGTTAAAACCTAAAAAAGACTTGGAAAGTATTTTCAGTTGTTTGGTGAGAAAAATCTGATGATAAAAATTATCAAAAAATTTCGTATTTTTGAAATTATTTCAAATTATTTGTTATTTTTAAATTATTTTTATTAAGAAAAGTAATTGTAAGGACCTCGGCCCTACCACGCTTCATTTGTGCCACTCCTTGTGTAATATTGTCCGCTTTGAACACACTAAGTCCTCACGGTTTTAAAGCGCGTTACACAAGGGTTAGGGGCAAGCCTTATAAACTCACCAAGATCTCACTCCGCGTTACACAAGGGTTAGGGGCCAAGCCTTATAAACTCACCAAGATCTCACTCCTAAGCAATGTGGGACAAGAGCAATGCAATCCCTTGCCATCCTAGAAACCTGCCCCGGAAGCCGCTCTTGTCCAGTCCTCGGACCCGGCGACCACTCCCGCCCTCGTCGGACCGGGTCGTTACAAAAATATATCAATGTTTTCTTTCTTAAAAGAAAAGAAAAAGAAATAAAAAATATTAACAAATGTAATTCCGGAAAATGTTTTCACCTTCTTAGATTAGGGAATTCACTTTCGTAAAATTAAACATGATATTTGTGTTGATCGGAAAGCATTTTCAGTTGACCAAATCATTTTCGGAGAACCAAACGGATGAAAGTCTGGAAAACACTTTCCGAGAAAACACTTTCACCAAAACAAACACACCCTGGGCCTTTGTAACACGCTAGCAATCCAATAAGAATTCCGTTGTGTCTTTGTTGTTCCTTTGCCATAAAAAGCCCACACACACTCGCATATTAACTCACTCGCAAGATCGACGACTAGGTCGGAGGCATATTTACCAAAGAGCTACTGCAAATCGAGTTTGAGATGCTACGAAGCATGCCCGGAGTATCGCGAAAATTAATCATGGATGAGTGTTGAAAAGTGATCCATTTCTAAGCTTTGTAGAATAGTCTACAATACTCTTTCTTTAGTGGTGATGGGTAAATTATGTGGCCGAAGTTACATGGGGCAGCAGATAATGTAAGAAGACGGAAAAATCACCGGAGAGTGATTAAGAGAAGCTTTAAGCACCACGTCTCCAAGGTCAATAGTCGCCCAACACATCATAGTTATGCTGCAATTCTCTGTACAACTTTTCATTCCCCCACCATATTGAACGTCTTATTTTCACACCTAAAGCTTCAACCAACATGTCTCTGCACAACATAAGGGAGGGGATGAAAGATCATTATACAGATAGTGGTCAAGAGAAGCTTCTGCTTGCAATAATTTCAGACGGATAGTCGTTGGGACTCAAACCCAAAATGCGCAGTGTTTCATCCCAAACTCTCAAGCATTCCTTCGGATCATCTGCAAGGCCCGACATCCTTCCTGGCTTACACTGGCTATAGTATGCAAAGTTCTCGGTGGTGTTGCGCGGTACATCAGCTACGACAGAGCAAAATAGGACGTTTCTGGCCCCTACCCAACAAGAATATGTAGCAAGATATTATGTTGCTATTGAGCAGTGGCCAAATGAAAATTACCTAAAAAAATGCGCATCTTTCTCGAGGATTACACTGTTCTATTAGATGTTTTATTCTTCTTGTAGTATACTGCAGAAAACTGCCCGTGTCTGTCGATAACTTTTTGTTCCCCCTATCCTTTTTCTGGTTAAGCAGTCTACGACTCGATTCCATAATGAATAGAAATGAACGGAGTTACTTTGTTCTGTTCTACCAGTAAACCGAATTATCTTTCGTCCAACAAACATTGAAAGGAAGGTAGAGGATCAGATGGCGGACAATCCGTTCGTGTTGACAATTGTTCCTCTATTTTCATGTGTTTGGTCGGCTATTTCTACTGAATCTCTGGTTCATGTCCTCTTTGATTTTTCAGCTATCAGTAACCGACTCTTAGATTTATCTCAGTAGCCCTAATCTGCTAGATCTACATTTTATATTTTCGGAAAAGGTAATTTTTATGCAAGAGAACTCAATCACGTGCAAAAGAAGAAAAAGGAGACCTAAAGCGCATAATGCCATAATCGTAAGTATAGGAAACAAGTTTTATTTACCTTCAGAAGGATCCAGCATCCAAAATGCTCTCATCCTGCCATCTGACAGCTGCAAAAAAGCATCGAAAAGCCAACCCTGGTCATTCCACAATTTCATGTGGAACAAAAAGCTAAGATTAATAAACCGGGTCGACAGATTACCAAGTTTGATTCGACGATTCCAGGGTGCACGGCTACGCATAGTACCGAAGTCTTTGCCATACTTACGAGCTTCGTGCTTAGAGCCTTTAGAAACATGAGCTGCACGTAGAAAAACACTTTGCAGGGAAAATTTTGCCTCGCAGTGGACTGTTTTGTTCTGTTTTTGACCAAATTCAAGTTTACGTACATACCTGGGCTAGTTTGCTTGATCCATAGGACGTCATGCTGCTGAACTTACGTTCTTCCTTGGCACCCACTTTCCAGGACTCGGGTTCCACAACTCCCCAGTGATGTCCCTAGGTTTTCTTCAAGCTTAGTATTAGTTCAGAAAACCATCTGGATTTTTTTCATAGGTAATTCTTTTGAAGTTCCAAAACGATCTTCTTATCTCAGAGACAACAGTTACCACGGAATTGACGTTAACAATGCGAGCAGAGTTGGCTTTGAGCATTGAAGGGAGCAGAAGAAGGGTGAGCAGCGAGGCCGCAATGTGGTTAACTTGAATATGCTTCTCAAGTCCATCCTCCGAAAATTGCGTCGGCTCTGCCACAGAAAGTAAAAAGTGGAAGAAGAATATTCATTCCGTGGGTCTTTTTTCTGGCTCTAAGTCTATGCAATGATAGAAGGAACTGACTGAGCGCATACGTAGATGAGCAAAAGTATAAGAGAACATGATGCGACACAGCAGCAGGAAATTATACCTCCCAGGAGAAGAATCCCGGCATTGTTGATGAGAATATGAAGGGGCTTTCCACTTTGATCCCACTGAGCTGCGAATTGCCTGACTGAGCTAAGGGACAATAAGTCCAGTTCCATCACCTGCATTTGGATCATTTCTCATATTATGGCTAGAGTCAGAGACAATCAACGATTCAAACGTCTGGAAGAGTATCCTAAGTCCAGTCCAAATGTCCTTTAAACCATCCAGGGTCATCAAGAAGACAACTGTAAGAATTTCCTAATGTGGGCTTCATTAATTGAAATTAACTGAATTAGTTTGGTCTAATAAATGTAATATATATGGGTTCTTAATAAGTCTAATATGGGACTGGCTGGTGTGGGCCGAGTACGGCCCGGCCCGTAATGAGAGGGCCGTGGTCGAAGACTCTATAAATAGCGCTCAAGTCCCTCCCCTAACCTTGGATGATGCACAATTTGACTCACATACAGTTTAGAGAGAACTTTCTTCTCGTGAGTGGCAATCTCATTAGGCCAGTGTTCTAACGAAGGGATAGGGGAGAAGCATTTGAGTTCGTGTTCGGAAACCGTCGCAAATTCCGCGTCAAGTTCGATGGATTCCAAACCAGGTACACGAATCTACAATTTCTCCATTATCGTGTTTCGGTTTCTAATTATGGTGATCCTGGGCGTGCCATTTTCGTGGCCTACATTTGGTATCGAGCACATAGATTAGAAGCCTGAAACATACGGATTATGACCGTTTTAGTTTTGTCGAGAGATTTTGCCCGGTTTGAAATTTTTTGTAGGATAAAAGTTAAATTTTATTATATATTTGGAATCTACTCGTCGAGACGAGAAGAATGGTGGGCGGATCGTCGGTGGAGGAGGCCGGACGCGCCTTCACGCGCCTACACGCGCCCTAGGCGCGGAGGCGCGTGACGGTCACGCGCGGCCGTGCCAAACCGGCGCGTTTGTTCGCCGTGCTTCGCGGTGACGTCGACGCATGATGTCGTGCGGCAGTGGATTCGGTTGACCGGATCGACCCGACCCGACCGGATAGTTGCCCCGACCCGACCCGGATCCTGACCCGACCCGACCGGTCAAACCGGTCCGTTGACCGTTGACCGGTTGGACCGGTCCGTTGACCGTTGACCGATTGGACCGGTCAACGGTCGGACCGCCTGTTCAGGCCAGTTTGACCGGTGAACAGCTACGCCTTGGCGCCCTTCCGGCCGACGGCGCGTGAGGGCGCGTCCGACGTCCGTTTTGGACATTCTTGGTATCGTCGCGCTCGTATTGAGATTCTCTACATTGTGGTGTATTTATTTTATATGTTTGAAGCTTTTAAAGATGTGAAAATACGTATACAACCCTATATACTCGTATTTTTAGGGTATTTTGCGTATTTTCTTGTATTTCTCTTTGGTTTCGGAAATACATATGGTAGCTCACATGTATATCACCACATAAGGACTATGTAGAGTATAATTCATTGTCTATCAATGAATGGAACAATATAATTAGCATGGCATGTAATTTTAGAGATATACGCCCCTGTCTTTACGTCTAGCATTACATGTATATAGTGAATGTGATACATAAAGTACATATCCCTGGTATGAGAGATTTTCAAAGATTCAGTTGGGTAGTGACCGCCAAAGTGGCACACTTGGTGGGTTTGAGAAATATCGGTCTCATATTGTGGTGGGATGTCTCTGTTCTATTGCATGATCATACTCCCAAAGGAGGTGATCTTGTATTGGTTCATGGAGGGTACATGTATAGCATGTGCTTGAGAAATGACTAATCTTAGTGGTTCATACACCCAAAGGTGGTGATTTCACGAAAAATTAGAATATGTTCTCATGGCATTTGTCATGTGAAGAGAATACAATTGCATGTCATATTTTACGCCCCAAAGGTGATTATGTGATGATGTATGTAACTCTTTGGATAAGTACTCACATGATCTTTGATTGTATTGTTTGTTTGTTTTCCAGTCACCTTTTACGTAAGCGGCAATTCCATTTCCATTGAGGTCCTTCTTGGTTTGAACTTTAAGAAATGGAAAGAGGATTTTCTATTTGGAGTGGAGGTGGCGGATGTTCACATTGCTCTTACAAAGGATAAGCCGGCGAGATATCATGGCCACCGATCGAAGGGAGAAAACGGACTATCTTTGCTGGGAAAAGAGCAATCGGATTTGCTTATTGACAATGAAAAAATCCATTCAAGAACACTTGAAAAGTGGTTTGCCGGTGGCCCGTATCTTGCTAAGGAAATGATGACACCTTAGAGGCTAGAAACCGCATTTCATCTAATCTTGAGGTTGGTACACTTCTTCAAAAGCTCTTCAATATGAAGTATGATGAATGCTTCTTGGGGTTAGAGATTATGTCCTTAGGATGGTAGACCTAAAGACGAAGCTTCAAGCTCTTAATGTTTCCATTCCGATGCTTGTATTGTGCATCAAGCCTTGAACACCCTTCCATCGATTTTGGGATTATAAAGACAAATTATAATTCCCAAGATGAGACTTAGTCGATGAATGACTTGATAGCAAGGGTGGTGGCGGAGGAAGAGAAACTTAAGAAGGAAAAAGGGCATCTAGCCTTATATGTTTTGGTTCCCACAAAAGAAGGATAAGAAGTTCGGAAATCGTACTGAGAAAGGTACTCATGAAACTACAGGTCAATCGACAATATGGGTCCAAAGAAAACATCCTTCAAAAGGGATGGTGGCCCTTTGCTTCTTTTGTAAGAAGAAAGGTCACATAAAGAAAAGGTGGAAAGTTTAAAGCTTGGTTGTCCAAACGTGAGCCTACGGGTAATGATTCTTTGGCACTTGTTTGTGAATCCAACTCTATCGGAAGCACCATCCGAGTTCTTGGTGGCTCGATAGCGGTGCAACTAATCATGTTGCATTTACCATACGGGGATTCATAAACCGGAGGAAGCCAAATCGGGATGAGTCAAGACTCCTTTGTGGGAAATAACGAGAAAGGCGATGTTGTGTTTGTGGGAGATGTAATCTTGATTTTAGACTACGGTTTTAGATTAATGTTGAAAGACACTTTTTATGTACCTTCTTTTAGACGGAACTTAGTTTCCGTATCGTGTTTGGACATGTATGGCTACTCTTTTGAAATCAAGAACAATGTTATTTCTTTGTTTCTTAATTCAAATAAGGTTGGGTCTTTGTTATATGTCCAACGGATTATCGGATTGTGTTTGTCTCCCAATGACATATACGTCGCTTATACGATTTGAAAAGGTTGTTTCAAAAGACCACTACCTAAGAAGCAGTCTTATGCATTGTGGCATAAAAGGCTTGGTCATATCTCTAAGGAAAGAGTAGAAAGGCTGATAAAGACTAACATCCTGCCTGCTCTTAAAGATGACCTAGAGATATGCGTAACTGTTGTAGAGGTAAAATGACCAAGATAAGGAAGAAAAGCTGCGTCAGAATTTCGACTGTTGGAGGTCATTCACACTTGATATAAGTGGACCCTATACGGCAACCTTATGTAGAAATTTTTATTTCATTACATTTATTGATGACTATTCTCGATATGGCTATACGTACTTGATTAAAGAAAAGTCGAGTCTCTTGACAAGTTCAAGATTTTCGGTTGAAGTCGAAACAGGTTGGGAAAGGTCATAAAGGTTGTTAGATCGACCGAGGTGGAGAGTATTATGGCAAACATGGCGATCTGGGACAGCTTAAGGGGCCATTTGCCAAATACTTAGAGGATTCTGGGATAGTGGCTCAGTTTACTATGCCTGGAAGTCCTGAGCAAAATGGTGTAGCCGAAAGGCGCAATCGCACCCTTATGGAAATGGTGAGGAGTATGATAAGTAGGACAAATTTACCTGTTTTTCTGTGGGGTGAAGCTTTGAAAACAGCTTTGTACATTCTGAATCGTGTACCTACTAAAGCTGTTCCATTGACTCCTTTTGAGTTATGGACTGGACGTAAGCCTAGCTTAAACCATCTTAAGGTTTGGGGATGTCCTGCAGAAGTGAAGTTATACAATCCAACATTAAGTAAGTTGGACTCCAGAACCACTCGGTGTTACTTTGTATCTTACCCTGATCATTCGAAGGGATATCGGTTCTATAATCCCAATGGAGGCACAAGAATTGTGGAATCACAGACAGCCAAGTTTCTGGAGTTTGATGTGGCCGAAGAAAGTAGCTGCTCACAGACTATTGAGGATAATAGTACGGTGGGTAATGTTGTATCTTTATCTCCTCCCATACAGATAATTGTGGAGACTCCCACACCACAGACTGAACCTGTTGAGGCTCAGGATCCTGTTGTCGAGACAGCTCCTAATGAAGTTCCTCAAGGCTCTCAGGTGCAGGATGAGGCTGTTGTTGTTCCAGTAAGGAGATCCATTAGGGAGAGACGATCAGCTATACCACCAGACTATTTAGTATATATAGGAGAGCAAGACTACGATATTGGTTCTGTAGCTGATCCAGTGACTTACACGGAAGCTGTTTCTTGTCCTCAGTCGGAACTGTGGTTGGATGCAATGAGAGATGAAATGCAGTCTATGAAGCATAATGGAGTTTGGGAACTTGTTGAATTACCTGAAGGTCATAGACCCATTGGCTGCAAATGGGTGTATAAGACTAAAAGGGACTCCAAAGGAAAGATTGAGAAGTTTAAAGCCAGACTGGTAGCCAAGGGTTTCACTCAGAGAGAAGGAGTAGACTATGAAGCAACTTTTTCTCCAGTCTCTTCGAAAGATTCTTTGAGAGTGATCATGGCATTGGTAGCTCATTTCGATATGGAGTTACACCAGATGGATGTTAAAACTGCCTTTCTCAATGGAGACCTTAATGAAGAAGTCTATATGATACAGCCCGAAGGTTTTGCGGCAGATGATTCAGGTACGCTTGTATGTAGACTGAAAAAGTCTATTTATGGTCTCAAGCAAGCTTCTAGACAATGGTACTTGAAGTTTCATAGTGTTGTCGCTTCATTTGGTTTTGTTGAGAACAAAGTAGATCAGTGTATATACTCCAAGGTCAGTGGGAGGAAATTCATTTTCCTTATACTCTATGTTGATGATATTCGCTTAGCAGTGACCTTGGTTTACTGCATGAGACAAAGCGGATGTTGTCAAAGAA